TTTGTTACAAAACTCCTGAACAGATTTTCATATTTCATTAGAATGACAATATCTTAAACTTTTACGTACTTACAAATACGCCTAATTCTTTGGTCTAATGCCATAAGGCACTGAAATAAATGGGATTTTATAACTATGTTATGGAGAAGGCAGTTACGAACACCTCTATAAGGGGGCCCATACACGTAAGAGTCTGGCTCGTGAGTCCGACTCGGCTCGGGTTCCAATGAGCCAAACTCGTCCTTGTGTGGGTCACCACGTTCATACGTGTGTGGTGAAATTAATCCGTGCTCGACTCTTCGCCGAGCCAGACTCGTACGTGTACGGGCCGCCTAACAGAAATACGAAGCGAATTTCGTAATGCGCCTGTTCTTCTTTATTCGGTGGCTAGCAGCGGCATCACGGAAAGGACTTCAAATATAGGCGTACTGTATAAACTTCAAAGTAGAAATACGCAACAAAATATAAATAAAATAACACTTGCATTGCAGTCTTAACATCGTACACAAGTATTTATTTTTAGAATAAACAACTTTGAGATAAAACTGTATCAGGAGGCTAAGGAACCGCGACATCGTGATTTAAAGTGCTTGAGATCAGAACATGGCGACGGGGCTACGTGCTACATTTCTTTTTATTGCTAGTGGAATGGGACTAAGTCCCTTGTACTGCGGCCACTTCTGTCCTGCTGTACCAGCCCCAGAGGATAGGTGAGAGTGATTGTGGAGCAATTGGTGGAATGAAGATTGGCAGGGGAAACCGAAGTACTCGGAGAAAACCTGCCCCAGCGCCACTTTGTCCACCACAGATCCCACTTGACCAGACCTGGGATCGAAACCGGGCCTCTGCGGTGGGAAGCTAGCGACTAACCGCTTGAACTATGGCGCGGCCTACGTGCTAGATGACCGGGGTTTCAGTTCCCGGCTGGGTCGGATTTTTTCTCTTAGCCATTCCATTGAAGTCAGTTCTGGATTCCACCCAGGTTATATCCAACGGCTACCGAGGGCTGTTTCCCTGAGGCAAAGCGGCCGAAGCGTCATGCTAGCCGCTCACTTCTACCTCCACTAAAGTTAACAACAACATTAAGAAACCTAATAAAACACTAAAGAGACCACTGGGAAGACCAAGGCGTAGGTGGGTGGACAATATTAGAGAGATAGGATGGGATGGTATGGATTGGATTTATCTGGCTCAGGGTAGGGACCAGTGGAGGGCTCTGGTGAACACGGTAATGCACTTTCGGGTTCCATAAAATGTTGGGAAATTCTTGCGTAGCTGCAGATTTGGCTTCTCCTCAAGAAGGGCTCAGCTCCATGAGTTAGTAAGTAACAAAAACACTACGAAGAACAATCCGAAGGTTAGGAAAGGCTGGAGTTATACCTCCACAAGTAAGACAATGCTAACAGTGGGCTATACGTGGTGGTCAGTACCTTACCTTCATGAGGCAAAGTTCCGTAAAAACATATTGAAAACATATTTGAAGATGAAACTAAAAGAGAACACATGAAGAGGGCAGATTATATACATGAAACACTCTCAGGAACTTTGAAAAAAAAAAAAGAATTTCTGGGAAGAACCAATCGTCTACTTTCCTCTCTTATGACACGGACCGCACAGAAGACAGTGTATCCAACAATTCTATTGCTGCGTGTGTATTAGGTGACGCTGTAACATTTTTGACGAGCTGTTGCCTAGCAACGATAGATGGATACATGTACAGACACACAGATTAATGGGAGGGATTTATGAAGTGCGCCGCTGAGATGGGCTCAGGTGCAACGAAATACCAAGTTTCATAAAGGTTGGTTCAGCCTTTCAGAAGTTGATTGGAGATTATTATTATTATTATTATTATTATTATTATTATTGGGGTGAGACTGATTCCACTTGATACTACGACCAATATTGGCCTATTTTACCTGGCCGAGATGATAGTGACTGTGGGGCAATAGGTGGAAAGAAGTTTGGCAGGGGAAACCGAAGTACTCGGAGAAAACTTGACCCAGTTCCACTCTGTCCACCACAAATCCCACATGACCTGACCCGGGCTCGAAACCGGGCCGCCACGGTGGGAAGCCAGCGACTAACCGCTTGAGCTATGGTGCAGCCTGACAGGAGGGGATTCCTACCTATTTTTATTTTAGTTTTTAAAATTAGAAAATTGTGCTAAAAACGTGAACAGAGTAGGGTCATTTAGAGAACTTGGCACTCCCTCGGCTGGGCAATAATCTCCCCCCCCCCCCC